ATGTCAAAACTAACTGACATTGAATATAAAAAATACAAAAGTTTTAGGATTGTGGCATAGTGGATATAAGAGTTGGTTATACATGTGTCAATGTCAACTAATGGTCATGAGTTCAATCTTTGGATCTGGTAGTGATGCACCAAATCAACACAATAATTACTATCACAGGGATAAAAGATAATAATAATCAACCAATCAATGGATAACTGATGGTGACTAGTGTGTACTTTGGTCAAAAACGTTGTGTCTATAATAACATCTATAGTTCAAAATAATACAAGATGTATAAAATCTCTGCTGTCTCAAAAAGTTTAAAATTCATAAAGTTTTAAAGTTTAGTAAAGGTAAGCAAGAAGAAAGGACTAACCATTAATTGTAAGAAAGCAGAATGCATGGTTGTCGGAAAGAGAAACAGCCCAAGATACAAGCTATGAATTGGAGAATAAAGAAATTTGTATATCTGGGAAGTGTTTTAAAAGATGACAAAAATGTGATACAGAAATTCAAAGGTACATTGAAATAATGAAAAATATCTTCCAAACATTATACAAAGAAAAATCTTGTTTGAAAAAAAAAAAAAAAAAAAAAAAAATTATATAAAATGGTACATCATAAGTCCGACCTTGAACCATTTAGGATCATCGGAGTACTAAAGCAGTAACAGTGTGTCTAGAGCAAGATAAACTAATGGCGCCTATCCATCTTCAGAATGGTTTTGAATTCAGGTATTTTCTTTCTCTTTAAATGGTTGCCACCTCAAGGCAAGATAGCTCAGTCAAACCTATTATATAACCTATAGCTGAGGGAAAAAATAAATGAGATTCTTATCTTCCCCAGAGTATTTGTGTAAAAGTGAATATAACAAACTCAGCAAGAATTTGAACTCAGCTTGCTAATTTATCTTTCCAAGTCACTAACCATTATACTACCTACATATACGTTCATACATAAGTGAACACTTAAGTCAATACCCAGCAGTGACAGTCTGTTTCATATTATATGTAATCATCAAGCCTGATGATTGCATATAAGCATGAAACAGACTGTCGCTGATGGGTGTTGACTTCAATGTCCACTTTTATATAGATATATGTACATAGGCTCTATCCCTGATATTGAGCACTTTAACCCATAAATATAGCATACCTTAAAACTATATATATATATATATATATATATATCTGATGACATTACTAATGACACTATCACCATTTGCATTTAATATTAAATAAATTTTTGGGTTGTTGAACTCTCTTCCAGTCAACTTTGATCTTCAAAAGTTTAAATGCAAGTCAATCGTTATTTTCAGTCTTCCTGTTCTTTTTAATAGTTTTCTTTTTCTCATTTTCTCTCACATTCAGTAAGCCCCTTGTGTCTTAGCAGCTTTATTGCCTTGCTCTGGGTGAAATGATTAGAAAAAAAAAAAGTATTATTATTTAATATATACTTATAGCCATATAACATTGAAAAACTGGTTCTTCTCTGATCACCAAAGTTGAGCAACACCGAGCCTGGTCAGTATTCTGATGAATGACTGCTGGAGAATACCGGGTACTGTAAGCTATGTGACAGGCCTAGCAAGCTGGCTCTGGATACAAACTTGCTACTTATACTAACGGAAGACCTCAATATGTATGGCGCTTCTGGAATGACAGGTCACAAGACCTACCTGGATTTGGGTGAGTGAATGGTGAGGATTATGGTACTAGCCTACAGGTACAATTAATGATAATTATGGTGGCTGAGTAGACATTAGTCTATTCAATATCTCAATTTCACATAAAAGATCCAGGATATATTTTTGAGACTTTTTCAAAAACTAGTGGTTTTACATACCATCAAGTATTGTCAGATAGACAAACTATATCATATGCATATGTAAAATTTTAGATATAACTAAATTATATCAGTAAAAGGAAAGTCCATCAAAAGACAAAACATTTCGGTTAAAATAAATTTTTCTTTTGATATGTGCATGCACATTTTATTTATAACATCTAAAATATTTTTAATGCAATGTTTCTTCAGGATGTAGGCAATCATAGTTCTCCACAGCTTCCTTTTCATTTTAATATCTGTAAATTGCCACACATTCTTGGATAAATTTAGTGGAGTGGTTTCCTGATGCTTTGTCCATGGTCTAATTCAAAGTAGTCATTCCCCTAACCTGGCTGAAAACCTAGTTTACTTTGTTATTTAATTCATAGCTGGGATTAATAGGGATGTATTTGTGTGAAAGTGAGCACAACAGACTAACCTGGAATTTGAACATGGATAACTAATTCCACTTGTGTTCATAACTGTCATGTCATATAATTTCCTAAAAATTTAGGGAGTGGGGAAATTTCCACACACACTGTTCAAAATGTTTCCAGAAATTAATGTTATATTTGAAAAACTGTTAACTTAATCCCCAACAAAATATTTTCTCTGGAGCTTTATTCTAGTACCCCTTTCATTTTTCAAAATGGTTTGTAATCATTGCCAATTTGGAGGAAGCCATGTAGTGGAAAGGCACTTAATACCAGCCATTCTTTGTTTAACCCAAACTTATTTTATTATTAATGATTAAACTTAAGAAAATCCTTGGATGGAAAGAAAAACAGTTTTAAAATCACTGCAATATGACCAATACAAAAACTCATAATATGATATTGATCTATTTATCAATTTTGTTTAGTTTGTTCACATTAATCTTTGTCTTTTAGATATCTTACTTAGTATATTAATATCTACATATATACAGACATACATATGTCTTCATGCCAACACAGACACGCATGTTCATATATATCTCAGACATGTATATTTATATTGCGCATATCATGTACTGCATGACCACCTCTCAAGATGAGTCATTCCTTTGTTTTTTAATAAAAACATATTTGTTGTTTACTCATTACTCAGGTTACCATTAAAGCAAAATGAAATTAAAAAAAAATAGACAATACACTTTTTAGTTTGATTTGAATTAATTACAATGGTGCAGCATGACCAACGAAAAAATTCATTGAATGTCATTATGTTGCTTAATTTTTTTGGCAATTATGTTGAACTCAAAGACCTCACCAACATCTGAGGCAATGTTCTAACTATTGAGCTATTTGCACTGACAAAGAATGCTAAATGTTTTTTGTGAGTTTTCATATGCTAACATATGAACTCCTTTGATCATGAGTAAATATTATTGAGTCAATAATAAATATTATTGAGTCAATTTTTAAGTCAATAAATCTCAAATCTGTTGACATTTTTCTTTTATTTCACTGTCCATGTTAATTATGAAAGATTCTGCAGAGAATTTGTTTAAATTGATGCAATCTGTGGCCATATGTCCAGGATCAAAATTTCAGACAATCTCTTTCTCCCCACCCCCCTACAGACACATAGATGTGCATGTTCTCCAAAAATACATATTCTTTTCCAAGAGATATTTGAACAACTGATCTAATCTTTTTGATTTCTTCAATACTATTTCATTTCTTTTTTTTTTTTTTTTAATACAATTCCCCAGGTGTCATCTTCTTTATATGTCTTGTCTCTTCAGGATATAGACAATCATGGCTCTACACAACTTCCTGTCCTTTGTAGATCTTAGCAAACTTTGTATTTCTGTTATTTCTCCTAAGCCCTGTCCTGCCATCCATTTACTCAAACTCACTAATTATGTTATGCATTATTTTCTTCAGTCTCTCTTTCCCAGGCCCATGAGTATCAGATTTTCCAAGCCCTCCTTCCTCATTATATGCCCCAAACACCTCAACTGTCTTTTCCTGATGTTAAGTATTTCCTTTTTATTTCCATTTTCTCCAAAACTTTGTTGTTACTCACATTTTCAGTCCACAATATCCTCAGCATCCTTCTGTAGAACCACATTTTTTTTTTACTTCAAGTTTCCTCTACACAGCCGATATAAAAATAGATAATTTCTTTTCTCATGAAACAGAATAAAAATACTGACACATATGATACCTGGAATTGTTAGAACTTCTTCTAGGAAAGTTGATTAATATCCATCTTGCACATTTATAAATCTACCATTAGTCCATGCATTGAACACTGCTGCCATATCTGGTCTGGTGCTCCTGCTATATATTTTGAGATTCTCAACAAAATCCAAAGAAGAATCTGTGATGTTATTGATCCTGACCTGGCATCTTGACTTCAGTTACTTTCCATGATATGGCTTCCCTCTCTTTTCTATAAATATTTTCATGGCAATTGTTCTGATGAGCTTTTCTTCTTGGTGCATTAAGTTCTATTCCAATAGTTTCTTTTTTCACACTTCTTTATGATTTCATACAATTTTCAAAAATTTAAATAGAATGTCAATCACCATCTTCTGTCTACCTGAAACCTCTTTGTTCTTTCTCTTCACTAAAGTCTTCTCAATCACTCTCAGCAATCACTCGTGTTCTGGTGGCCTTATTGCCTTTTTCAGGATGAAGCGGGGAAAAAAAAAATTAGGAGCTTACTGAAGGCAATGATCTCTTGATCACATTCAAAGTACTTCCTCTTGCAATCTCACCCACATACTCCAGGGTGTCTCTTTTACTCTTAAATAGTTTATAGCTTTTTTTTTTTTGTGATCACTTTGTTGTATTCTCCTTAATCTCCCTTTCATCAGCAATAGGCAGAAGTTACTGTGTACTGTACTGTACTGATGCGGCATTCACCCTGGGCGGATTGAGCCGGCTTCTTCCTGTTATGAGAAGAAGATTCTTGGGATAAATTACAGAAGTAGGGTACCCAGGCCTACTCGAATAATGTTCTTGCTTGCCGTGGGATTCCCACAGACACAGAGACAGGAACGACCAGAAGCCGCCCGGTTACCGATGCAGACGCCCTTGGATTTTCACCCAGAGCCCTTGTTAGCCGGCGTGTGTGTCAGACCTGTCCGCCTTTGGTGGCCCTACCAGGAACGGTTCGGGCAGCATAGCTCTGACACTACCGTTTACACCCCCCCCACCGACTGTGAGGTAAGGGTTGGACTTTGGGGGCTTACAGTACCAGGTGTTCCCAAGCGGTCCCCCATCTAAGTACCTGGCTCTGCGCTGCTTAACCGGTGATCGTACAAGAACCGGTGTTTCAGCGTGATTTGACCGTAAGCAGAAGTTACTGTGAGCCAAATCTGAATTGTTGTGGAAACTTATGAACCTTGGTTGATTTAATGTTATGCCAGCAGGAGACATGAAGACTGGATAGAATTGGTCATTATGAATATAACACTTAGAAAGCACACAAGCTCATTCAGCAGTATCACACTGCCAACTGACTAACCTCATCAGTCGGTCAGTCTGTCTGTTCATGCATGTGCTGTGAGGTCCTCTCTGGTTGGTTGCCAAGAAACATCAAAGCTATATTACTAGGTCTAAAGAAATTCAAAACTGGCTGTCCACTCTCCAGCTAGTCATTGTATGCTAAACTTTACAATATGGCATGTGACACAAGTGATCTCTGAATTTTTATTCATAGTTAAAAAATAAATAAAATTAAATAATTAATATATCTAAGTGCTTCACTTTCAGTAAAATTGAGCTCAGTAGACCATTACAATTATAATGATTTTGATTCTCACTGGGTTCCCCATTTATAGAGTTTTCTTGCAGTGTGTGTGTGTGTGTGATGGCTTTGCTTGAGGAGTGAAAAATTGGGTGGGCTTACCAAGTCTGAAATTGAAATGTGGGACAGGCCTCAGATCTGAGCTAGTGGAGTATATATATTATACAATATGATAATCCATATGGAATTTCCAGGGGCATATAGATCCAGGTAGAGCCCTATGTCAAAAGAGAGAGCAAAATTATTATTAATTAAAGAATATCAAACACTTAAAATCCCATTTCATTTCTCTCATGAAATAAAAATTATTATCTATGGGATTTTAAGTGTTTGATATTCTTTAATTAATAATAATTATTATATATATATATATATATTATATTTAAAGGGGTGGATTTTTATTTACTAATCTGACAAATTTGTATTACTGAAACAGTAATTTTAGTGGATACTTGTATTTGAGTAGATACTCTGTTTATTTATTAAACAACACATTTTTCTCTAAGATTTCTTGACTATTCAGACTGATAGACTATAATTAACCACAGTTAATATTGATTGGACCTTAGCTAAGACCTAGTAAAATAAGTTTTATAGATAACAATTACACATACAAGAAATAGTTCCCACACTTTGACCAAACATCAGATTTTTATGGAAGAGCGAAGACAAAGACTTTTCAGAAGCCCCTCAAATAGATGCACATGCCTAATAGATAGACACAAAGTTACATGAACATATCAAGAAATTCATAGCCTAATGATAAAAAAATAATTTATTCTATACTACAAATATTTATTCTTCAATGTAATCTCCATGATTGCCAATGCACTTAATATTTATTGCACTTTTATATATTACATAGTTACAGCTGAAAAATATATCTTGTTACCATGAAAATCTTTATTTTTAAAATAAATTAAAAAAAAAAGTCAATTTTATTTTATTTTTTAAAAGCCTTCGTGAAATCCAGCCAGCCTCTAACTTCATTTTTTCTTCCCTAGATTCTTAATGAGCAAACAATAACAATGTCTTCAAGTCTGGCACCAGATCCAACACAACCAGTTAGAGTCAGTACACGCAATAATCTGTAATGTCTTCTAGTGTTTTTGTCAGCAACATTTTTTACTGGAAAAAGTTTGTTTTTTTTTTTGTTTTTTTTCTGTAAACACTTTTTTTCCTGTGTCTCTTTTTGTTATTTTGGAATTGTTAGCTTAAAATGTTGCACAAAACAAAAAGTGTATATTTCTTTGTGGTCATGACTGGCAAAATGTCTTAATTTACTGTAAAATTCATTGTACAAAGAGAGTGCCTTAAGGTGTCAAGTAAAATAAGTCATTTTGGAGATAAGAGGAAGTGTAGCGCTAACAGATTTACTTGCCTTTGAAGCATAAAAAGAAACTTATCTTGGAAATTATATCAATCCAGAAAGTGAAATTGGTAAGCCAAATTTAGATTCCAGGCTAGTCTGTTACATTCAGTGTTGCACAAATGGCGATGGTAAAGGCAGGATTCTCTCTACAGCAATAGGTTAAATAGCAGGGTTGACCGAGAACTCTGGCCTTGTGTGGCTACCATTCCAACAAGAAAGAAAATTCTGAATTCCAATCTGTGGAGAAGGCAACAGGAAACTACTTCCTGCCTAAGAATTCATGCCAATTCACAAATAAAGAAAAAGAAACTGTGGTAAGTCATGATCAATATCTTGATCAATATACTGAAAGGACATCACATTTAAATAAAAGATTATTTGCGCTATAGCAAAATACACACACAATGGCTAAATATAAGATTTTTTTTTAGGGGGATGGCCTTTTTGTTCAGGCCAACAATTTTTCAGCATCACTCAAACAGGCACACATACCTACTGTCTGAATTTCAGAGATGAAGAGTTATTATTTACTTGCAGACTATTGTACTCATCTCTGTTGCTGTTTTTTTTTTTTTAAGCGTTTCACCCCAAGCAAGGCGGGAAGCCACTAGGACGCAAGGGGGTTACAGAAGATTTGGAGCAAGATCAGATAGGAGTGATAGAGGAAAGGATGAGGAGAAGGATAGTGGATAGATCAAGGCAACTGGAGATGTCGATTGACATTACATTTGAATAGTTGGAGATTATAGCTATCAGGGAAACAGGAATAGGGAAGGGAGTTCCACAGGCGAGAGATGTGAGATATAAAGCTATTGTAGTAGAAGGGACGGCTACATTTAATAGTTTCAACAGTGAAAGGGTGAGAGTGGGATGCCAGCCTCGTAGGGCGCTTGAATTCATGAAGTCTGGGAACCAGCAAATGCAGCTCCTAAGAGCAATTACCATGAAAGTATTTGTAAAAAAGACAGAGAGGCGATGTCATGTCTGTGAGAGAGCAACTGTAGACAAGATGCCAGAACAGAGCCAATTATATTGCATATCCGCCTCTGGAGCTTATCAAGAACCCCAAGGCAAACAGAAGGGGCTCCAGACCATATATGGCAGCAATACTCCATGCAAGGGCGAATTGTTGATTTGTAGATCTGAAGGATCAATTCCGGGGAGAAAAATTTCCTGGTGCGGCACAGGGAGCCAACTTTCCTTGCAGTAGAAAAAGCAATTGACTCAATGTATTTGTTCCATCTCAGGTCAGTAGTCAACGTGAGACCGAGGTGCTCTTGAGAAGTTGAGTGTCAGACATTCTAATGGATCTCTGTGGTGATTAATAGAGAGCAGTTTTGTTTTTGAGGCATTAAAGTTGACCAGCCAATTCCTGCCCCAGTTCACAAATTATAAATACTATAAGTTTATAAATATGATATACTAAAGAAGGTAGCAGAAAACTCTAGTAAAAATGAAAAACTGACTAAAGTTATATTTAATTATTTAGTATCAAGAAGCAAAAAGCAAAATTTTTCAGATGTTCTTTTGGACAGTGAAGTGAGAAAACAAATGCAGGAGTAACCTAACTAAAGTTTTATTCAACTTAGAATAAATTGTGTCCTATTGGACTTACTTAAATACAAAATAAATGTAAAGGGAGATAATCCATATCACAGACAGCAAAACTTACTAGTTTGAAGGTTTTGAAAAGTAAATGACAACAAAAGACATTCAAGAATATTTAGCTTTGTTGTGTATTCTGTACAGCAACTTTATCCCTGCATACAAAAAATAGTTCCATATCAAAGAAAGATAATGACTCATCAAATCATCAAATTTAGCTCAAAGATTTGTCACAATTCATCTTGTTTAATAGAAAATGCTTTGGTTGTTGAAATACACACTTAGCAAGTGGTCTTTATCAGTTTTAAGCACATATCTTTTTATACAAGAGTGATATTGTAGCTAGAGTTTTATTGGGAGCAACAAACTTGTTTGAAAAATCAATCAACTATAAAGACTTAACAGATCTGCATGTGGTATGACAATTATTGGCACAGAGAGTGGAATCAACAAATTGAGTTCTTATTTGGGTCTAGTCTGTTGCATTCAATTTTGCATAAATGAAGAAATTAAAATATATCTCTTCTCTCTCCAGCTATGGGTTAAATAGCAGGATAGATTGGGCTCTTTTGCTTTGGCTGACAACCAGTCTAAGAGAAGGAAAATTCTGAATTCCAAACTGTAGAGAAGGCAAAGGAAACCTGGTTCCAATATCTTTCCTAATGGTAATTCACAGATAATAAAGAAATGGAACCTGTGGGAAGCCATAACGGTCTACAACCTCAAAAGACATGGCACCTTAAAAAAAGAATTACCAAATTTGATAGCAGATTCCTCAAAAACTTTCTCCTGGGTTTTTTATATGAAGCTGGGGTTGTTTTGAGACTAATAATTACCCAGATACTGTAGACAACCAGTATATGAATATTTAGGCTAAGACCAAATTAAATGTCAAATGTGAAGGTCTTATATGTCATGAAATATGGTAGGTTAATCAGAGTACTGAACCATTTCAGCTATAAGCTTCCTGAGTTGATTCAATAAAAATACATTAATTTTTTTTTATAACTCCAGTCAAAAATAATTGTTAAATAAGACTTTAGGAAAAAGAGCTAAATTTAAGGTTACCATGTAGATCTTCATTTCTATGGCTTATCAACTCTTTGCAGGTCATTTAATACAGGAAAATATTTTTAGATTGTAAGGATTTTTACTAATTAACCCATAGCTGGAGGGAAGGAGAAAGAGATTCATACCTTTCCCAAGGACATTTGCTCATAAGTGAATAACGAACCCAACCGGAATTCGAACTTAGTTCTCTGACTGACAATTCCAAACCATTATCTATTACACCATCTGCACACCCAAGGTTAGAGCACTTGGTATTCCCAAGCAGTCACCCATCTAGGTACTGACCAGGCTTGATGTTGCTTAACGTCAGTGTGTCAATGTGATGTGGCTGTACACCTATGTAGAACTGGCTTAGCGACTATGTGGGTTGATTAAAAGGTGTTTGCAGTTATCTGGTGGCCATAAGCTCAATATCTGGATCAGGTAGTAAAAATCCATAGACTCCATTAAGTAGGAATGATCAAAAAATAGTATCACAGGCATGAAATGAGACCAGAA